GCTTATTTTGCGACGTTTGCAGTATAGTGACGTAACTGGAACCGATGTGTTGGAGAAGCATCTGCAGGCATGTGCGCATGCGGATAAAGAAAAGGCACATCTGGTCTTTTCACGAGATGAAAAAAAAAGACGCGTACCCTGTTTAGGATTCAGGAACGATGCTCTGCAAAATACAGGGAATGCTTAAGAAAAATGCAAATATCCGTGTTAAGTTAAAATTCGGGCGTCCAGACGCCCGCGCCTGCAGCCGTTTCCCACACCGTTTCTCGTGCCCACATGGGGCCCACGCTGCCCGAACATCACCAGTATCGAGAAGGAGGAGGTGAAGGCGGCGGATGCCTAGACGGCGCCGGAAGGAGGTGACACCGAGGCGAGACAGCAGAAAACGAGGAGGGAGATACAACACTCGATCTACTTTTGAAACATCCAAATGCAACAATTGTAACATACGTCTGAAGGCAGCGATAAAACACTTCAAACATGTATCTGCAACATTTGTAAAAGCACATGAAAACACTTGAAAACGATTGTAAAACATACGCTACATCCAGATAAAAAAACACTTACAACATATACGTGAAACATATGCAACATCCAAATAAACACACTTGTAACATATGTCTGAAAACACACACAGATGAAACGTTAGGAACATAAGATTGCAACATACGTGTGCAACTATTGCAACATGTGCTACATCCCGATCTACTTTTGCAACATCCGCACAAACACGCTTGCAACATGCCTCTGAAACATCTAAAACACTAAAACATACGCTTGCAACATGCACTTTCAGCGCAATATTTCCTTATTGTTTTGGAATGGAGACTCGTCAGCGCATGGAGTTTACTTGTGTAGAGCTCGCCGCTCCGGTGGAGAAAGTCGTGGCAGGTTCGGTTGAGAAAGCCGCGGTAGGTCCACGCGCTCTAGAAGGCCGCGGCGGATTACCAGCTTCACGCGATAGCCACCCTCGCCTCCCTCCCGCGCGGCGGTGCAGGTCTCCATCGTCGTGCTCATCTCCCACGCGGGCCTCCGGAGCCATCGTTTCCTCCCACGCGCGCGGACCTCGAAGCTACCATCGCCTTGCTCTCACGCCGGTAGCCGACCGCGGGAAGCGCAGTTGTTGTCGGACATACGGGCCGCACGAGCGCAGAAGGGCCGCAAGCCAGTTGCTGGACGCCGGAAGCGCAGTGGTTGCCTGAGAGCGGCCCCCAGCTCTCCCTGTCGTCGCGGCGCTGGGGAATGAAGATGTGATGCCGTGCGCGAGGTGGATGTCGTTGCCTCTGCAGCTGCATCGCTAACCCCACGCCACCGTCACCGAGTCTCCGATTCACCACAGCAGCAGCTCCCGGAGCTGGGTTAGCATCTCGCCCACCTCCTGGTTCGGTGAGTAATGGATGAGACTAGCACGCTTGAACGGATAAGGCTACACCGACCACCGCTTTAGCCTGTTTTTCTAGTGGTGGTTGTTGGGCTGGCGCAGGTGGCTCACCATCGGAAGCATCCGCCGTGGACGGACGCCCTATACTAAGAATTACCGAAATTTAAACTCAGATAAACATGTTTCGTCACAGAGAATCTAACCAAATATAAGATGCGCAAAGTTACATATAGTGGTATGCTTGATGCTTCAATTGTCCAATCCAACTAGCAAACAGGCCCGTACATTAGCAGGTGCAAAGTGTGCGACTGTTCAGGGCCACCAAAATTACAGGGCCTCCAAATTTACACAATACACTAAGTTCTTGATGATAGAAAATTGCTTTCTTCTTGTGTCAATCTAGAAGCGAAACTTAAGAGTGAACGTTCAGATATTGATGGAAGAGAATTATATGTGGAGTTAAAGTTCATCCAAGATCATATTGACATATCTATGGGCCCTCTTGATATTCTGAAATATTTGAAACGCATGGTTCTTTCCCAGACGCCATTATTGCATACATACAGAATTTTGTTAACCATTCCTGTGTACTGTTGCATCTGCGGAAAGGAGCTTTTCTAAACTCAAGTTCTTGAAGTCCTACTTGCGATGTACAATGACACAAGAAAGACTTAGTGGGTTGGCAATAATAGCACTTGCAAATGATATCTTGGAGATGATCAAGTATGAAGATATAATTGAAGACTTCATTTCAAAGAATACTAAGAGAATGATGCTTTTCAGTAGAACATAAGATTAGTTTGTTGCTTAAGTACTTTTTGTATTGTTTTAGCATCATATGTTCTAAGTACCGTAAGAACAACGTATATTTGAAGCTTTATAATGAAGTAAAAATATGTTTTCGATATATTATTTTCTTATAAATTTTAGGGTCACGTCACGCGTTTCGTTCAGTACCTCCAAATCGTAGGTACGGGCCTGCTAGCAAAGTAGCCTTCCAGGCTCCAGCACCCGCGCTCCGTGCAGATGCAGTGCCGGTGCAGGCCGCCGGCCGTTGCCCGTCTGGCCTCGTCGGATGGTCATGCACGCGCGACGTGGACAGTCTTGTGAACATCTTTGTGGCTGATGGCGCCGGTGAAAGAAAATGGAGGCTGGGCTGGGGGGAGAGAGAGGGAGGGAGAAAGGACGTGTCCTTGCCTGCTCGTCTTTAGGCCGGTGCCATCCCAAACCCAACCCGTTTCTTCCACCTCCTTTTGCCTTGTGCTGGATCATGGCCACCACGGCACGGCTTGCTTCAGTGCGTTGACTGCATTTGGGAGTAATGATGTTCTTTTCCCAGGAACGCACTGGCCTTTTTGACGTTCCTGGATTTTCCTGCCGGGCATGTCTCCCACTCGGGAATTGGGGATGTTTTCAAGTACCGACACCGTGCGTGCGCGCTGCACGCTTGCAGGCAGGGCATTGCGAATCTCTTGTTCTGATATTGCTGCGACCGCCGACCAGACTTGACATGATATGCCTCGCAGGTCGCAGCCTCGGCAGTGGGCACTGAATGAAGAAAGAAAATCACTACTGTAGCTCAGATACCAGGCCAAGAGCCCAGTGCCGCGCATAGCCCGGGGTGGGTTTCGTCTTCCCTCCGCGAGGGTTTCTATGGCCCACCTAACCTCGCGCGCCAGCCAAGCCCACACCAATTCCGTTCTATACGCAGGTGATCCTCCCGTACGCCCTTGCCACGCGGCCCACCGAGATGCCCCGCATGGAACTCGGAGCTCGCCCGCCGCCGGGTCCGGCCACGATTAGACAAGTACTCCCTCTGTCACGTAATACATTGTATTTTAGAAATTTTAGAATAGATTAAGAGAACACACAAAAGATGTATGTGCCCTCACTTTATTTTCTAATAACACGTTATCATCAACCCGATTAGTGATAATTGATTGATAAATATAAAGTATTTAATGCAAAATAGGTTTCTATCTTCTAGAATATCTTATATTTAAGGACAAATTTTGAATGTTAAAATGTGCTATATTACAGAGACGAATGGAGTAAATAATAGTTCCATTTTACTAAATACAAGTCAAATATTTAAAAAAAAATACATGGATACGGTATGCAGCGCGTCGCCTTGCATACGTAGCCTTGATGACCGACGCGTGTTATCCTGGACGTCGTGGGTTAGTGGATGCACGGCTCAGCTCGGCTGGAACTGAAGCACGGCTCGCCCTGCGTTTGTCCCTGGCAGTGGACCTCTCGGCGCAGCGTTGGATCGTGAGCGGAGACACGTGTCAGTCATCGACGCTATGTATGCACGGCGACACGCTACATACCGTATTCATGCAATTTTTTCCCAATATTTTGGCTCTATGGATAGATCTGTCAGGTCTACGTAAGCATTGAATCGACACGACACGTAAAATATCGGGTTAGATAAATGGCTATTTAAATCTAGATTAGACTATACAACTTCAGGAAGTCAAAATCTGTTTTGAGATTTTAAAGACATAGATGATATAGATTATTTTTAAGATTCACTGTTGAATTTTATTCTTCTATATATAGACTAGTTGTACCGTGGATTACAAAATAGTTGATGCTTCATCGCGTAACGTGGCTGCCGCGCGTGGCTACCGCGGCCAGCGCCTGGGCTGTGTCGCACCAGGGCCTCTGCCCGTCCCCCGGCCCCGGCCCACTAGTCTTATATGGTCTGGGCTGGCTTGATTTGAACTATGTTGTTGCGTTGGGCACTTGCGCTCCTTACAGAAGTTGGATTATCCTATTCCACAAATAGATTTGGATCATTCGTATCTATTACAAATTCTTCTCTGTATTCTCCACATTTGGATTCAGACAAAATCAGTGAATTATCCGCGCCAATCTCACCCCTAGTTCAAAGCCCGTCTAAACTTCTTTTCCAACGAGCAGCATCTCTGGGCTTTCAGGTTTGATTCTCTATACTTTCTCCTGCCCAAAAGTAAAACAGAGAGAGAGTTTGCTTAGTGAAGAAGAGATCAATGTCCTACTTTAGGAAACAAAATAATTACGAACTGCTATATATTCCGTAGCATGATTAGATACCACTTATAGAAGGGATAAGCTGGGTTTAATCTCCTCAACCTTGTGTGTACATCACAATTCGCAAGGCACGCACTTAGCACTGACGTACAGCATTCAGCGAACAAACTACAATCTGTATGATTAGGCACGTAATTAGGCAATAGTCCGTCTTGAGCTAAACTTAGACAGTTCAAAAAGGTAAAGATAAAGTAGTTTGGTAGCCTAAAGCAAACATGTTCAAAGATTCTTCGTGTGGTATTCAGCAGCCCTGCATACTCGCCAAAGCATTATCGCCATGTCTCTCGGCTTGCTTCAGATGTCATACTTCATCCACATTGCTTGGCACACAATGATCAACGAGTTCACAGCCTCTACGGGCAATCCCTCCCTGTTAGGCAGGTACACAGACGAGTCATGAGACACATCCACACTCAAATGACTCTATTTATTCCTTGCTTTCATTGCCAAGCCAATGTGACTGTGTGCATTCAGAAGGACTATATATCTATCTTCTACCTCAACTGTAAGAAAGATCGAGCTACATTCATACGCGCGTACCATGGGTGCATACACAACCATAGCTCCGGTTGTCAGCAAGATCTTCTGCAGCTCCTCGCACGCCGTGCTGATGGTGCGCAGGCGTCCTCCGACCGTGAACGGTGGCGGCCTTGTTGTTACAAACCAGGATCAGAGGGCCGCTTTCAGCGTCGATGGCTGTGGAATCATAGGTGTTAGTGGGCAGTTGATCGTCAGGAATGGTGATGGCAGTGCAATCCTCTTCATTCACAAGAAGGTGAAAATTCAGGAGCTAAGCTGAAAGCTTCTGCTTTGTTTTCTGAATGTTTCCATCAAACTTCCTGATGTTTCGTTTCTTAATGCAACAAAATCTCCAGCTACTTAATTCAAGTTGTTGATGAAAAACTAACTAACTGAAACTTGATCTCACAGGAAGGTGTCGTTCAAGCGTTGAGTGTCAACAACTGGTGGAGAGGATATCTGTCCGACTATGGTGAGCCAAGCAAGCTGGTTTTCAGCTTGCAGGATCCTAAGCCTGTCCTCTGTATGAAGGGTGATGTTCGGGTCACCGTGGAACCCAACAGGAGAAAGAGGCACTGGGGCTACAAGGTGACTGGATCCTTTGTTCAGAGGTCTTGTGCCATCAAGAACCGAGCAGGCCAGGTTGTAGCGCAGGTATAAAAAAAAAAAAAAAAAAAAAAAAACTCCACGGCCAGGACTATGAAGTTTGGAGGAATTTAATTAGAAGTAGAATTACGTTATGCTTATGATCCAACGGGTGATGCTATTTTTTGCTCGATCCACAGATTGGTGCGAAGGGGATGATGGCAGGCAGGGACTTCTACCAAGTGGTGGTGCAACCGGGCTATGACCAGGCCTTTGTGGTTGGCATTATTGCCATTCTTGACAGCATGCATGGAGAGTCTACAAGCTGTTAATGTCACAACTTACAAGATATGACTGCTCATATCCCTCTGTCGATAAGATTCATTCCATTGGCGATTTGTTAGAATACAGTTGTGTAGCTTGATTGTTTTATTGGACTGTACATTACTTACTCTTATCTTTTCATTGATAGGTTACCATGTACATGATAATATGATATATATGTGATATCAAAGTGTGTTGTATTTCAAATTTAGTTTACATGCAAAGGATTTAAGTTCTTGATGATAGCTTATCGTGAATACTTTTCTCCAGGTTGCTTCTTCACTATTGTTTCTTAATGCACCCACATATCTTGACGTTACAAATTGGAGGCCCTCAACTTGGTCTCCATGTTAATGTTCTTGAGACGCGCTGTAAAAAGAAAGAAAGAAAGAAAAAAGATAGTGCTACAAATTATCAAAATAATCGAAAACCGCTAGCCATTAATTTAGTAGGATCTAATATATATCTATACAAATACATAAAGTAGCTCCTAAATCTACATCTAAATTGCCGGCGTTTGTCATTATGAAAAATAATTTAAAATAACACACTAAATTTGCATACAAATTACCCATGTCTACCATTGAACTATCAATATCGAGCAAATTACCATCTAGCTGGTTTCAAATGTGTTTTTTTTTTCAAAATAATTAAAATTTAGCTTTTTAAAAAATCATAAATAATTCAATTAAATAAAAATATGTGAAACCACTATAAAAGATCTTTCTAAAAATATTGTATGTCTATATTGGTGCTAGATTTGGATTTGCTTGGACCTTATTTGTAGTCATTCCTAGTGTTTTATGCTCGCAGTCGTGCCAACAATATCGTACTAGTTGCAACCTATATGTGGTGGAGCTTGGCCCTATGAGGCTGTGAAAGTTCCTAATGGCTAGAGGGGGGTGAATAGCCAATTAAAAATTCTACAACAACACTAAGGCCAAGTGGTTAGATAATTAAGCGGCGAAGTGAGTGTTGCGCTAGACGCCTAGACTGCTAAAAATGTAAGCCACCTATCCGTAATTCTAGTTGCTATGATCACTATATCACACAAAGGCTAAGTCACTACTCTCTAAGTTAGTGAGCTCTCAAAGACTAACTAAAGAGCATCACTAACCAAACTAACAAGCTCTCAAAAACTAGTTACACTAAAGAGCTTGACTAAACAAGAATATAAAAGTAAGTGCAAGAGAGGTAGTGAGGGTTATACCGCCGTGGCAAGAGACAATCAATCAATCACAATGAATACCAATGAAATCCTCGGAGACAAGATGACACAATGATTTTTTACCGAGGTTCACTTGCTTGCCGGCATGCTAGTCCCTGTTGTGGCGATTCACCCACTTAGAGGTTCACGCGCTAATAGGCATCACACGCCTAACCCGCAATCGGGTGCCGCACAACCAACACAAGATGGGGATCCACAAGCCACAAGCAATCCACTAGAGTACCTTTTGGCTTTCTGCCCGGGAAAAGTCAAGAACACCTCACAATCACCACGATCGGAGCCGGAAACAAGCACCTTCCTCCGCTAGATGATTGTCGCTGGACCAAGCCATTTTGGTGGCGGAAACCACAAAGAGTAACAAGCGAATCCCGCATCGAAACACAATCACCAAGTGCCTCTAGATTTGTCGGTGCAGAAAGTGACCAACACGTAAATATTTGTAGTTTTGCTGTACGTTGTGATAGGAGGTGGCCTAGCACTCAATGACACAGGGTTTATCTGGTTCAGGCAACGTGCCCTACGTCTAGTTTGAGTCGGTCGGTGACTTTATTCCTGAGCCCAGGTGCTCGAAGTTTGCACTGGGGTTACAAATGAGAAGGAGAAAAATGGGGGGTACAAGAGGTCCGGTCGGACTCCTGCCGAAAGGGTCGAGAGTGACGGGAGCCCCGCTATGAACTAAGTGTTCGAGCGTGTGCTCGTGGTTCGAACCTGGCGGTTCTGTGGTTGTGTTCTAGTGAACTTGATCGATCTAATGAATCTGAATCAACCTGAATCGACTTATCTATTGGGAGAGAGTGCATCCCCTTTTATAGATGAAGGGGATAGCTCTACAAGTGAAAGGGAGAGAGTACGTATGCTTCTAAGCCTTGGTTCCCACACCGGCGGGTATAGGATGATGGTAGGCGCCCATAATACTGTTGAATATCGGATGCACGTGGGAGGTTGTGTCGTCTTCTTCAGGTATGAGATATGTCGGTACCTGCTATACTGTTGATGCCTAGAGGGCTAGAGGCATGTGAGGGGATTTACCATGTTTGCCCGGTACGGTAAATGCCGGTGCCCACAACACTGTCGATGCCTAGAGGCATGTGGGGGAGCCTTACCGTATGGGAGTTAATGGCGCCCACAATACTGTAGGGGAAAATATCGGCGCCTACAACACTGTTTGGGCTCTGTCGTGCCAGGGAGGTTGCAGAGTACGGTTTCTGCAGGTGTACAGGGTATAGTCCCCAGTATTGTGTTTTGACTTGTGTGCCCTGCCTTACTTTCTCTGTTTGTTTCCTAGTCCTTACCGAGCGGGCGTCCCCGGTCGGTGGGTCTCGGTCAGCTCTGATCGTGCTAGTCGGAGAAGAGCAGTGAGCAGGGGTTCGGTGCACCCCCGGTCCGAGATGCAGGTCGGAGTCAGAAGTGGTGCTTGGCCAAGCCTTCCGGTCGGAGGGACCGTCCGGAGGCGGGCCAAAGACCGAAGCGGGCGTTCCGGTCGGATAGGCGGACCGGAGTCAAAAGCGGGCGCCGTTCCTCCTCGGCCATGCCTTCCAGTCGGTGATTGGATCGCCCTTCTGGCCTATCATTTAGGAACTTGGGCTGGCCTATGAGTTGTGCGTTGTCTGCTTGGGCCAAGCCTCCGTTGGGAAGCCGGTCCACGAGGGATCCTGGGTTTATGAACCCGACAGGAGCCCCCGAGCCCCCAGGTGATTCGGGTAGAATCGTCTGGGGGATTTTTGTCTTGATGGCGGGTGCGCGCGAGCGCACCCGCGGGTGTAGCCCCCGAGCCCCCGGGCGATTCGAGTAGAATCGTCTGGGGGGGGTTTTCGTGTTGCCAGCGGGGGAGGTTTTTGTTTTGTCACCGGGTGCGCGCGAGCGCACCTGCGGGTGTAGCCCCCGAGCCCCCGGGCGATTCGGGCAGAATCGTCTGGGGGGTGTTGTCAGCGGGCGTGTGTGCATGTTTTTTAGTTCAAGACGGAGTCGTCCACCAAGGCGTCATTGCGCAGCCATGGCATTTAGTTTTGGAATCGGGTGAGACAGAGCTCGCTGATCCTGGCATCGATGCGCGTCGTGGGATCGGGCGAGACAGTTAGTTTAGGGATCGGACGAGATGGAGCTCGTGGATCCTGGCCTCGGTGCGCACCATGGGATCGGGCGAGTCGGAGTCATGGATTCAGGCCTCGGCGTAGCCCGCGCAGCCGAGGCAGTTAGTTAGTTAGTCTAGGTGTGCATGCGTAGAGTAGCCGGATGGGGCGAGTTTGGGGTCACAGACCCAGGCGTTTGGTGTGCAGTCGAAGCATAGCCGGATGGGGCGAGTTCGGGATCACAGACCTAGGTGTTTTGTGTGCAGTCGAAGCATAGTCGGATGGGGTGAGTTCAGGGTCGCAGACCCAGGCGTTTGGTGTGTAGTCAAAGCATAGCCGGATGAGGCAAGTTCGGGGTCACAGACCGAGGTGTTTGGTGTGCAGTCGAAGTGTAGCCGAATGGGGTGAGTTTGGGGTCACAGACCCAGGCGTTTGGTGTCTTGAGCCCCTGAGCCCTGTTGGGCTTTGGTAGGGGTCGGTTTGAGTTGTGTGCGTTACCCCATCCTCGGTTTTTCACAACCGGAGGGGCTGAGTTTTGTCGCTTGCCTCGATCGCTCGGGCTTGAGTGACGTGCTTGGTGAGCTCGCTAACGGGTATGATCGAGTGGAATCCTGGTCCGTCATTCATGACGGAGTCAGCATAGCCCTCTTGTGACATTCCACTGCTCCTTTACCTGCAACCCGATAGATGTCTGGGTCGTTCCGGAGACCAACCCGGGTGGCCTAATGGCCTCCCCTCGATGGAGATTCTGTGGGCTTGGCAGAGGCTTAGGATCGAACGAGAAGGTTGAGATGACCCTGTCTGCTTCGGGGCAGACGCGGCGAGGGCCGCACGGGGCTCATCTGTGTTTTCTCCCCTGCCTCTGTTTGACGTGGGGCGGCCTCAAGCCCTTCGTGGGTTGGTCTTCGAACCTCGGTCGGTCGTTGCTCATGTCGAATGAGGCAACTGCTGCTTCGTGACATAACACGGAGCATTGTGATGCATTTCGCTGCACGTGCGATGCTTAGTTCCCGAGCCCCCGGGCGGTTCAGGGCCCGAATCGTCCGGGGGGAACGGGCGTATGGAATGAATGCATGTATGGATGTATGAAATGATTATAAAAAATAGCATGGGTTGGTAGTGTTACCTTGATGACTCGAGTGACGGGGTTTGAAGAGCTCCAATCGGAAATGTCCAACCGGGACCGTGCTCGTCGTTCGTGACGGAGTCGGCATGGCCTACATGGGGGCATCCCTTTACTCCTTACCTGTCTCTCGGCGTGTTTTTCTAAGTCGTTCGATCGACTTAGGAAGCCCGATGGTCTCTCCTGGCGGAGATCCCTTTGTTTGGGTTTTTCCAAGTCCCGCTTGTGGAGGCGGAGAGCCGCCTGCGCATGGTGGCGCTTTGGTTTTTGCGCCCGGCATGCGGTAGTGGTGGGCCATACCCAGGCCATGTCCTGTCTGACCAGGCGTTGTTCCATCTGACCAGGCGTCGTTCCGTCGGTCAGTGTGCATCCCGGCGATTAGGGTGCGTCCCACCGTTTCCCATTCGCATTGAATGGGGGAAGGGAGAGAGTCTTTTGCTATGATATTTTGCCCCTCTTCAGCTGTCGTGTTTCCTCCTTAAATAGGGGGAGGGAGAGGGCTTCTCATCAAGTCCTTTGCCTGTTCTCCAGCTATTGCCTTTCCTTCTTCCTCCTCACCGAGAGTGCCTGTATGTCGCGGCGGTTCCT